AGATATATCCGTCGGTAATTAATTGTTAATTTACCGATGGATATATCCGTTCGGTAATTAATTATTAATTTACCGAACAGCTTTACCGACGATATATCCGTCGGTAACTAATTATTAATTTACCGACGGATATATCCGTCTGGTAAGACCAATTTCCACAAATACTTTATATCCTTTGGTAATAATTAATTTTTCGACTAGCTACAAATCCGATCGAAAATAAGCGATTTTTTGTAGTGTTTGTTTAGTGTATTTTTTATGTATTTTGGGTCTTTGAATAACTTTTCTCTGCTTTATATTGTACCTTTTTTTTGGATCTGAGTAGCCCTTGTACTTAGTTTAATTGATGTTGCTTATAAAAAAAACATGTAATGTTTTTGCTAATATCAAAATATAAGATTTTCCAATAATTCTTATTAGTTAATCTATGCATAAACTAGGATTAAAGTGAATAAAGAATTTTAGATTTTGATAAACACTTATATTCGGACAATAATATTTATTATTTTTCAAGATAAGAAATTAAATAATTTAGGTGAATGAAATTATGTATAGTTGTCTCAAACTACAAATGATATCGATTCATCGAACTTGTACTATACATATATACAAGAAAAGTTGAACCTGTCATTATAACCATTACCAGTCAGTATTAATTGAAGTTTTAAAAAATAATCTTATGATTTAAATGTAGGCAACTTTTTAATTATAAAAAATATACGAATAGATACTTTTATACTTTAAAATTAATAATTAACAGAGTATATATAATATTCTAAACATATTTTAAAATAAAAAAGTGTTTTCTTTTAAAAAAAAAACATGTAACTCAAGTGTTTGTTAGCAAACGTGTGACTGGTTCTTCTGAGCCGTTCCTGTCCCTTGCAGCATCAAGCAAACACTGGTACGCCAACACACAAAATGACATGGCACGTTTCAAGAATACATAAGTAGAAGACAAAATATTGTTTTCATTGTCGTTTTGTACAGAATAGATTTTACTTCTATGATTAAAAATACTATTTAATGTTAATTGTTATGCCGTGTTTCAGAGTAAAGTTTTAATTTTAACTTTTAAAAATTAAGCACTTGACTAAAATTTTAATTACATAACATGAGTGCAATGTTTTTCCATATTATATATATTTATATATACATACCCAATTTAAACCTAAGGAGTGACACGTATTAGAGCATTGTAATGCAAAATTTTATTTTGGTATTTTTTGTATATTTTTTAGAATCTGTTTCAATTTTTTTGATAATAAATTTTGGATAAATAATATTTTGTGTGTCTCACAAACATATATATGATAGTTTACTCTACAGTCATACATAAAGAAATAGTTAAAAAATATATTTAGGATATTGGGTTTTAAACTCTTGGGTTTTTTTTTATATATATTATGATATTTCATTACATGGTATTATGGTTAAAATGTCCCAATATAAGAAAGTTGCTTTATTTAAAAGAAAAAAAAACTTAAATTTAATAAATAAACGTGGAGAGTAAATATACATAAAAATAGCTTTATTAATGTTACTTGAAGGAATGTCCTAAAAACACTATAAACTACTTTTTGCTAGTCATTACCTTAAAGCAAACAGATATTGTAATTAATATAGAAATAAAAATAAAGTTGGAAATATATTGTTAAATACAATTTTGTTGAAAAATCTGAAGGAATAAAATATTGAAAATATATTTACTAACTAGACAAAATCTAACTTAACTATTTTTTATTTTTTAAGAAAAAACTTATTAATTTTTCTATGATATAAGACTTTTAACTTAATTATAAAACAGTAAATATTGACTTGTGTCAAAGTATTAAAAAATATTAATCTGTATTTTAAATATCTATGTAAATGATTATTTTGTTAGATAAATTTTTAAAAGTATTTATAGAAGAAAATGGTCTGTTTGATTTTCTTTTTTTCTATTCAATTTATTTAATTTAAAAGAAAAAACTAATTATTAGTGAAGGAAAAAGAAAAAATATATATAAAAAATGTTAGAAAAACATTAGAATTTAAAGGTAAGCAAATTAAAATAATATTTTTTTCCTACCTCAGTAAAATAACCAATCCTATTGATAATGTTCATATGTACCTTCTATTTTATGCATACAATTGTTGTGTATCAGTTATCTACATAATTGTCTGGTTGTAGGTATCTATAGTCACTTAACAAATCACTTTCAAAGTACATTGTACTTTGATATCTACATCCATATATACATACATATATATATATATATATATATATATATATATATATATATATATATATATATATTTATTTATTTTTCTTCTTTTCATTATTTCAAGACTTTTCATTATTTCGAGAAAATTATAGTAATTTAGGGTTTAATATCACATTTTTTATACTATTTTTTTATTTGAATTCTATTATATTTTTATAATTATCAAATTGTTTGTGATTAGATGTGTATAGTCGTATCATATTATAATTATAATAATAGATATTTAAAAGAAATATAAAGATTTCATATTATATATATATATATATATTAAAGCATTATTATATTAAGAATCTCTAATAATCAATTTTATAATATCAAGTTTTCTATTCAAATTTAAACATAAGTAAAATAATATCTTATTATGTTTATTATAAGTTAAGTTACAGTGCAGAATGTCGTGGTTTTTCTAGGTAAATATTTTAACTTTTTACAAATTTACCAAAATTTTCTTAAAAAATACTTCAATAAATATAAAAAATCCTAAATGTACTTGTAGGTTAAGTAGTTATCCACATAATTGTCTTGTTGTACATTCTCAAAAATCACTTTCAGAGTACACTGTAACATCGTGTCCATATTTTTCTTCTTTTTGAGAAAATGAATAATCTAAGGTTTAATATTTCCCACTTACATTCTACTTTTCCTATTTGAATTCTATTATATTTCTCTTACCATATAGTTTTTTTATGAAAGAAAAGTACCACGTAAGTAAGCTGATACTTGGATAAAAATATGTATAAATGATAAGGTACTATCCAATAACGAATTTTTAAATAAGTTGGTAAGTTTTAGTTGAAAAAACATGATGACTTAATAGAACTATGAATTGAATTTTTTGATGGAGGTTTAGTTTTTTTTTTTTTTTTTTTATGATTAAGAGATTCTGACTTTACAAGAGGTAAATAATAAAGAAAATATTAACTGTTAACAAAAAATATTGGTCAGAATATTTTGTTGTGTGACGAAGAGTAATCACGAAATGGGTGTTTTTTTTTCTTCTGAAAAATAAAAGTTTAAGATAAAAATAATAATAATAATGATAATTTATAATGGGAAGACTACAGTAGCGTCGGCGACTACTGGGATTACGAGTCTGAATAGAGACAAAGCATAGGGAAAGACCCTCACGTAACAGGCGTGGTCCATGTCCTGTATGTTTAGTTACATTATTGTTTTACTCAAACCATTTGCAAAACACAGCAGACAATGAAACCCTTGAAAATGCACACATATCTGTTTACACACTATACCATCTAGGAGACAAGGACACATATATCATCATTTCCAACCTTATTATTAGATGCACATTCTCGCACCAAATGAGAATAAATAAGGAAGAACAATCCAAAGCTTAATAATACCATCAACCAGTAATATATATAAAAATAATGTAAAATTATTTTATATTGTTATGCAAATATAAGTTACTATAAATGGTAAGTTCTTACAATTGCATATCTGATTAAAATTAATATATACTTTTAAATAATTATTTTGAAAAATATTTTTAAGATAATTAATTTTGATTAAATAAAAAATATATAGTTATGCAATAAATTTTAAGAAAAATTCGAGAGGAAATACAGTCATAAAGATATACAAGTTTGCATGAATAAAATTGTTTTCTTCTCAAATTTTCAACAAATATTTTTAATATCTAGATTATAGAATAAACAACATATTGTTCAAAAATATAATTTTATTATGTATATTTATTGTAAGAAGAATTTAATTATAATACATTGATAAATTATAACATTGGTATTTAATTATAAATTTCAATATACTTAATATATATTATCTTTTTAATAATTGAAGTCATTTCTAATTGATTAGGATAAAGACTTTACATGGACAAAGTATTAACATTTATTTAATATGTTGTTTAATGATTTTTAATAATTAACTAATAAATAATTTTTTTTATGATGAATAAAAAAATAGTCATGTTCACTTATATAAATTAAAATAAAATAAAAAAGAGAAAAAAATTTAAATTAAATCATATAGTTTTGGTTTTAACAATAATAGAGGATAGGTAGATAAATGAGAAAAATTGTTATTTAAATAACAATTCATTTTCTTTTTGAGGATATTCAACATACTTTTGTGAAAGTGGCTATTATAGACAAAACAATTACATATTCTTTGTGATCTTGCCTCTAAAATTATTAAAATTATTTTGATGTTGTCACAAGGATCTTTCAATTAAAAAAAGTTGAGCTACAGTCACTCAAAACTTATAACCAGTATCTTAGAAAATAAATACTAGACTACAATAAAATAAGATAATAGACTGATATTAAAGTTAGAGAGAATAAATTAAAACTATTTATTTTATCACGATATATATATATATATATATATATATATATATATATAGAGAGAGAGAGAGAGAGAGAGGGAGGGTGAATCTATAGAATGAAAGACAAATTAGATCATCATCTTAATATAAACCATTTTTAAATTATTTTTATATAATATATTAATATATTTGTTATTTTAGTAAGAAACTAATTAGACACAATAAATATTTGACAAACTATTAATTTATATTCTTATACTTTACAAACTAAATTTAATCAAAGAAAATATCCATAAAAATATCTAATCAGTAAAATATCTAATAAAAAAAATATTTATGCATATACTTATATATGCATGGAATCTAACACGCATTTTCTTAAAACAATTATTTAAGACGAAACTTGTATGGGACTTCAGACTCTGCAATCACTGTAGAGTGGTGATTTCAACTTCTACATCTTGGGACAAATCAAATAAAGCAATTTATGCCGCCCATACACACCATTATAGGACTATGTTGTCCCTTGGTCTAGTATTGTTTGGTCCTTACACTATTACCCTTGGATTAGGATATTATTACATGAACAACCTTCTGAGTCTTTCTACCTCGTTTTATTCACTACTAACCTCGACCGCGTCTCAAACCTAAACTTGTTCCTTGGAAGAACCTGAGACCATGTTCAGGATCCTTTGCCTTGCATCTCCGTTCGAGACTCTCTGTGCTCTGCTTCTCGTGTATGTCTCGAAGAACTCTTGGTTCTCCTTCTCTAACTCCTTCCAGACTGCTCTCATCACATGCATGCATGTGTATCATTCACATTCCAAATCAAACGCAAAATAAAACGAAAATGGTGACAGACAGTATTGATAATTAACAGCACCATCTGATAATGATCTTGGTTTCATTGGCAGATGTATACTATTGTCTATCAAGAAATTAATTATTTGAGCCTATACAACTGACAGTGGTTGTTGTATGCAAGCTATAATAAGCCAAAAATGGTCATAATTAGGGTAAAGAGATTAAATGAATGAATTAATTAAAAACATTGTTTTCAAATTTTTTAATTTCATGAGCAAAAGAGAGAAAAATAATTAGAGTGGGTTTACCAGTGGAGGTAATAACTGGCTTAATGTTTGCATGTTTGGAAAGAGCTTCCATGCACTCTTCTCTGCTCATGTTGAATAAGATGCACTCCTCGATCAGACGGTGCACCTACATGTATATGTATGCATATTCATACCTTCATCAGATCTTATCCATGTCACCAAAAAAGAAACAAAAGAAAGCACTGGAAATATTTAAAAGATGAGATTTTCTTCTGAAATTAACAATATTTTCACCAATAAAAAAAAATGGGGCAGGAAGGGGTTAAAGGTAAAGCAAACTGAAAACTCACCAGGTGGATATAAGCAGCAGAGGAAGAGTTTTCCATGGGTCTTAATTGATTTTGTTTGAGTGGAAGTGTGAGGTTTAAGATTTGTAGATGATTTATGTGATGGTATAATAAAGTTTTGTTTTGAACAGAGGAAGAAGAAGAAGAAGAAGGAGAGGAGAAATGCAGAAAGAAGAGGAGAGAAAAAGAGGAAGGAAGAAAGAAAATAAAATGGCTAGGTTGATGAAGAAAGGGGTTGAGGATCGCATCGAAGTTAAAAGGAAATACTAATAAATATAACATAATGGTGGGGATATAAAAAATAATAATAAAAAGAAGGTTAGAAAAAGAAGGCACGACACATACATAAAAAATGAAAATGAATAGAGTGAGTGTCAGGCAGCTGGGGTGGGACCCACAGACCCACGTGGGAAGAAAACGAGGATTGGTGGAGAGGGGATTAGAGGAGATTCTATGAAGGGCACCAAACGGTGTTGTTAGCATATTACGTGGCGGTGGGGCCCGCGGTCACGTGAAACGTGGGACCGCGGATCCTTATGTCTTTCCAAAGTGGCACTGGTGGGGCCACCTCAATGCATGTGCCACGCTCAAATCATGTATGTCTTGGAGGTTTTTCCAAAATCTTGCAGTGGCATCAATGCGATTAACCTGTAAGCAATAAATATAAGTTGCACTCAAGTCATTCCTTCATTTTTCTTCACCTCAATTCAATATTGAGGTAAAATAGTCTCTGTCAATAGAGACAAACATTTTTGGTCATATATAATAATATAATCATTCAATGCATCCTTTCTTAGATTTACTGTTAGTTTAAATTTATTAAATTATATATATAATTTGATTCTTTTTTTTGTTAATAAAAGTTTTAAAGAATATGTTAGTAACTTCCTAAGAAAACAAGTTCGTTGTCTCAGACTGATTGGTCCAATTCTTTTTATCGATGATGTTTGAGAACCAAACAATTATTATGCAATTCAAAATAATATTTATGATTATTTGGGTTTAGGGTCTAGAAATATATGTTTCTTACATGGTCCAACTTAAAAGCATAAAGAGAAGATGTAGAACTAAATTAATGAAAAGACTAATCTAAATCAAAATTTAAATTTTTATGATTGAATAATCCACCACTAATCAGTGATCATCTACCCTCTGAATGGAATAAGTACCTGACACCATTCCACCACTGGGAGGCCTTGTCTGCTACAATATTCACCATCTCCATGCTCATCCCTGTCTTCCTCTTTACACTCACTATTCACTTTTTCTAACTTGGTGCCAATCACCATTGAAAATAAATATTATTTCCTAAAACATAACAGTGAAGAGATCATGATATTCCCTGTAGATAGAAGAGAAGACAGGGAACAAGAAAAGGGTTTTCAAATATGTGACAAGGCTTTATACATCAATCATAATTGTGAATCTTCAAATTTTCCTGTTTTAAATTCAATTACACTTATTTTTTCCACTTAATGTAAAAAATATGTACTTCTATCTCAAAGTATATGTTTAATACCACTTAATGTCTCTATTAATTAATATGTTGTTCTTTCCGTTTATTTAATTTAACATTCTACAATTAATATGCATCAAACTAATTAAAAGAAAAAATGCACTCTCATATTACTATTTTATGATTCGCGAATGAAAACCGATAAAAGATATTTACATATATAAAAAATAGACGTAGTTATAAGGTACGATTAATCTATATGTGATTTGAGAAACGGAGAAGTTCATAGTAAATAACTTCTACATACAAAAGTTTATGTTTGGGAGAAGTTAATAAAATATAACTTATACTTTATATAAGTTAATTTTACCTTATTTTGAAAAATTAGTCGGACTATTTTTTTTCTTTTTTATATCTTATAAGTAATAATTAAAAAAACCTTAATCTATAATATTATATAGCTTTTACTAAATACATTATATTATTTATAAAATATATTATAATAAAAAAAAATCCCCTAATGTTTAGATATTAGAATTATAATTGCTTTGTGGGGACAACTACTCCCATACACATTTGAATACGTTTTTAAATGCAAGATGTTAAACTAGTTAATTCAGTGCATAGTGGATCAAACAGACCTAACACCAAATTCAATGCCAAAAGTCAAATTATAAACACTTTGATCAATAATTTTTATGGACTTACCTCTTTAATTAAGGCATGCTAAAAGAATTCATTTTTAATTTAAATCAAATATCTTATAATTAACTAGAGATAAACTAAATTAATGTCAATTCTTCACTTTTATTTATTTATTTACAATAATAAAATATTATAAACAACCTAGTTATGTATTTACCTTTGTAAAAATACAAACACTTTCGACTTTACACTATCAATTAATTAAGAACTATTAAAAGTGTTTTTACGTAAGTTATATAACCAATGTACTTTCTACATTAATAATATCTAACATTAGTTAAATAAAAGATATAAAATAACCAATATTGTATCTTCTTCCCATACTATGATTAAACAATACACTTTAGATGAAATATTACTAAAATTATTAAAATTCTTCGACAAATATTAATATTTAACAAAATCAATTAATATCTTGAATTTCAAATGATGACTTAAAAACTAAAAATTAAATTGGATGTACACGTCCACTTATATATATAATTTATAGAAGTATAATATATCCTTTTAAAAATGTGAATAAAATTCAGAGAATAAATTTTATATAATATATAGGAGGGAGCACATGCATGATTTTTCTAACAAAGTAACCATGGTCATACTCATGACCCTCATTCAAAAGTCTAATTTCTATCTACACCACATAATTTATCTAGCAAGATTATAATAAAGTTCAATTATATGTATCTAATACATATAATTGATCATAATCTCACATAATATATAAAAAAAATAAGCAATGCCCAAATTCGAAGCCAAAAAAGAAAGGTGGTGAAAGGAACAGGCCTGCCATCCTCAGAAAAGCTTTCTCTTTTTTCCAGTTACGCCATGATTGTGCATCATATTGGACTCCATATCCACACATGACACGAGTTCATTCTTCACAGATAACCCAAAATTGGATGCAGAAGGTCCCGGAGAATGAACTGGAAAAGCCAAACTTAAAGAAGTTGGAATGAATCGATTTGGATTAACACCTTCCTTATCATCTGCGTTGGTAGAAAAGCTATTGTCTTGTTGGGTCCCATGAGGAAGGGCAAGGGAAGACAAAATTGGAGGATTTTTCCAATGTGGAACTGGAGCAACTAGAAGTGTGTGAAGCAAAGGTCCAGCTTCTGTTACACTTTGCAACAATCTACCTTTTTGAGGTAAGGGTTTCCCACAAACTAGTTTATCAATCACTCGAGAATCACTATCAATCATACTAGCGCTTGAAACACCCTTGTCTGTTTTGATGTGATTTGATAAGGTCAAGTTGCTTGGTTCAACTATTCTTGTTTCAGACAATAAGCTCATGGAGGAATGTTTATCATTTGACTGGAGATTTGACAAGGATAAATCACACGAATGATCTGAGAAGACTTTGGAACTTGAAGATGATACCTTGGTGCTCTTCATTGATGGCTTTGTTTCGCTTTGGAGGTATGATTGATCAACTTGTGGAATAATTCTTGTTGTCTCAACTGGGGTAGATGCCTGTAAATTCCTTATCAGCAATTGAAGCTGGTCTCTTGCTTCATCTCTTTCTTGGCAAACTTTCTTCAACAACTTGTACAAGTGTTTAACTGTTTCCTCATATTTCTTTATCTTAGCATCAGCTTCCATTTTTGCTGCTATCAGTTCAAGCTTGGTGCAGAGAAGCCTGTGCTTAACCTCAACAATGCTCTATCAATGCAAGACAAAGATTAGTCAGTGTGAAACCGAGAGTTTAATTGCTAATTAACATGATAATAGAAACATAAAATTTTGAGTATTGTAACTGAATGATGGGAGCATGTTATTGCAGGGATTGTTCAAAATGTGAAGACAAAATATCTTTGCCTATCGGTTGAACAAGGTAGATAGCAATGTTAAAGTTCTCTGTCACGTGAAATAGTAGGTATTCAAAAGTAACAAGCGTTCAACTTCAAAAAGGTGAAGCAATGGTAATTCAACTTTTCAAAGGGCTTTTTGTTTTTTAGTATTACCTCTTTTGACAATATTGTGAAGACACATGATTGTGTTCCCTAAACTACATTCGTCCCAGTAATATTAGTTATTTGGTTGTTCTTTTGTAAATCTTAATGATACGATTCATTACCCATAACACCAGCAAAAGTTTCATTTGTGAACATTGTTTTAATTCTAGTTCTTTAGACTTTGATCTGTCCCTAGAAGAAGGTATGGATCCATCCAATAATGTAATCAGAAAAATCAATAACCGGAACACAAATGAGAAAATAAGGAAATCCATTTAAAAGATAGTTATAATCATTTACCTCGTTCTCAGAAGAAATCATATTCATGTTTATCTAGCTACGAATAATGCACGTACGCAACCAAAGTGGGTTGGTTGTGTCGGAATCTGAAAAATGAAATTGTGGTTCAATACAAACTGCTTCTGTGAGCAATAATGGACAATCTTATGTATGTTGAAATGGGTAGCGTTTGAAGACAAAAGTGAATGGTTTGATTTTGGTAAAAGAAAACAAAAACTTAATTTTTATATTCTAATTCAACAGTTATATTCAGTGAATCAACTACTCCGTGATTACAGGGATGTTGCTTTCCCAATATATCACTGATATTCTCTTCTTCCTTTGTTAATTGATTGTGGTCTATTTTAAGACCTTAATTTTTTGGATCATTATTTGGCCAATTCATAATTAGGTTTTGACAGATGAACTACAGTTTTGCTGAGTGTGTATTATACTATTGAATAAACATGCACCTGAGTTTACCCTTCCGTTAACAATATAACGTTGTTGGTTCTAACAAGATGTAACAAGGTGTTGCAGTTTAGGTTTCTGTTTGAGACCACTTTTGCTTTGTAACAAATGGAATTTGACTCTACCTTCCCCTTCCTGTCTGTATAGCTGCCAATTGTGACTTAGTTTAACCCAATACCGCGGGTAGTTTTTTAGTTACATTTTTTTAAAACTTCGTTTGTAAACTTCAACATCTAATAAATAATTGTTTTTTTTAATTAAACCTCACTGTAATTTTTATTCAATAGGATAGGTTATTTTGATTATTAATTTTACAAGATTTCGACCTCACTGTTAATTATGTGAAATATAGTTTAATTTAGTTATTTTATTATAAAAACATTCTAAAAAAAGAAAAACACAATAAAATTAACACTTTTTTACAACTTTGTAAGATTAGAAACTAGGTTAATGATATATAAAACCTTCTTATAAGATACACCATGTATAATAATAATAATAATAATAATAATAATAATAATAATAATATAATGATATTTTTAAAATATTAGCATAATATAATACAAAATTAAAAAATTAAAAAGTGCAACCAATTTAAAAACGTAATGTTCTATCTTATGATGATACATCTAAAATATTAATAATAAATATTTTTTTGTTTTTGTATTTTATTTTTGTATCTTTACCAGTTTATTTATTTATTTAATTTAGTATATGTTTACAAAAGTGGTCTTAATTTTGAGAGAAAGACTTCTACTCCATAATTTTTTCTCTTCCATTATACTAATATATATATAGGATAATATCTTTTATAAACTTATTTTACTTTTATTATTGTAAATATTTTTGTTTTTTATTATGTGTGACAACATCTATGTTTTTACTAATAAAATAGTATAATAAATTTATATGATGACATTTTTTAAGTGAGAGTTTATCGTGAGTCCTTTTTGTATAATGAGAAAAAAAAAAGAGTCAATCTAACCGTTTGGTTTTAGATTTACACCAGTCAAATAATAGACTGATATACAAATTTGCTTATTGATCACAAAGTTTCAATTTTTTTAATTATATATATATATATATATATATATATATATATATATATATATATATATAAATCTGTGAATATTTTATAGTCTTAATTAATATTTCTAATTGATTTAATTAAAAATATTTAATATCTGTGAATATTTTATAGTCTTAATTAATATTTCTAATTGATTTAATTAAAAATATTTAATATTATGATATATATATATATATATATATATATATATATATATATATATATATATATATATATATATATATAATCAAATTTGAAACAGACTTCGTATATTTTTGTATCACGAGACCCGCGTGGTTATAATTTAATAATGTTTTTTAATCAGAAGAAGAGGCGAATCCCAAACACGAGTATCTTAATCTAATTTTATAATCATTCAATTAATTATTTTGTTCTTATATTTAAATATTTTTAGTTCATATTTTATTATATTTTGTCTTTTAATTTTTATTTTTATTTTTTGATTTTTCGGTAGTTGATTATGGAATTTGTCAGTAGATATTATTTTAAAAGGTTCTTAAAAATGAAATATATTATTTTATTATAATTCTTATCATTAAAATTAATGTATATAATTTAACTAAATAATTCGAAATGTTTTTTCATACTAATTGTTCGTCTATGGTGAAGTTAAATGTTTCATCTAAAATACTAACCATTTTTACAAAATGTACTACTTATATACACTACTTATATTTTTTAAAATTTGACAACTCATAGAAATTACAAAATTTAAGTTAATCTAAACCAATTAAATATATTTCATCCTGAACTTGAACCAATAGAGCTACAATTTCCTCAAATTTAGAAGATAACGTGGTCCAAGCAATAAAGCAAGTATATTTTACAGAATAAAGCAAGTATATTTTAACTGTTAATTTCTTAATTAACAATTATACATTTAATCACTTAAGCCAAAAAATTCTCAAAGAAAAAGTAGACAACCCCAACCTGTTTCACGGTGTAACAAGAAGTCAAACCCAGACGGTGACAGTGGCATACTGCAATATTCGCCGCCATTCGGAGCTGCAGCCATGGCCATAACAGCCGCCATTTCCGTTCCTCTCACATCCCCCACGCGCCGCACTTTCGCCTTCCTCAATAATCTCTTCCCCCACACTCCCAGATCCACTCTGCCCACACCGCCACGCACCTTTAAATACCCTAATTCCCGCCTCGTCGTCTCCTCCATGAGCACCGACGCCCCCGTCAAAACCCCCTCGGCTTCCTTCCTCCATAGCCGAGAGACCGGCTTTCTCCATTTCGCCAAGTACCACGGCCTTGGAAACGACTTTGTTTTGGTGAGTCCCGTTCCGCTTCACTTTCCCTTTCCCTTTATCGAGTTAATAACCGTTTGGTTTTGACGTGTGGTTTTGAATAGATTGACAACAGAGACTCGTCCGAGCCCAGGATCAGTCCGGAGAAAGCGGTGCAACTGTGTGATCGGAACTTCGGTGTTGGAGCTGACGGAGTTATCTTTGTATTGCCTGGCATCAATGGCACTGATTATACCATGCGGATTTTTAACTCTGATGGTAGTGAGCCCGAGGTAGTTCTTCTTGTGAAGCTTTCTTGGTGTATGCATTGATTTTTTATCATAAAAAAAGGTGAAATTCATAAAAAAATACATAAGTTGATTTTAACTTAAAATAGTAACCCAATCCATTTTACTTTGTTATTTTTTTCCCGTACATAAGTTATGGAGAATTTTATCACTGACAGACTTTAAAAAGTACAGAATCTTAGTCTTTATCACTAACAAGCTTGCTGTCATTTATCGGATTGACGCTCTTCTGCATAGATGTGTGGTAATGGAGTGCGATGCTTTGCCAAATTCGTTTCTCAGCTTGAGAATTTACAAGGAAGCCATAGGTAAAACTATGCTGTTATATTTCGTAATTGCTCTTTTCAGTTGCTTCGTCGTCTCACTTTTAATGTCTTGTTGTTTTTGAGTCGGGATTCCGTGTTCATGAGCTGTTTATGTGTAACAAATATCTGTAAGGACAAGATTTTAGTATAATATTGAAAATTAATTTAATAAATTGATGATGAATTTTTTTTATGACAGTTTAGTTGCCACCTCGATCATTATCATTATATAGTTATGGAAATTTCATCTGACAAAGTAATAATGTCTTTTCTTACATTGCAGTTTCACAGTACATACTGGTGCTGGTCTGATTATTCCTGAAGTCTTAGATAATGGAAATGTATGTCATGTGGCAAATATTTGCAATTTACTTATTGATATGTGATATTGTTTTAAGGCATTGGTTCATGCTGTTCCTAAGGTGCCTTAATTGGTTTAACGTGAGGTTTGTCTCTTATCTGATATTGGTTCTCTTTCTAGAACTTGATAGAGAATACTGTTTCAGGTCAGAGTTGACATGGGGGAACCTGTTCTTAAAGCCTCAGATGTGCCTACCAAATTACCTGCAAACAAGGATAATGCTGTTGTTAAATCGGAGCTCATTGTAGATGGAGTTATCTGGCATGTGACCTGTGTTAGCATGGGAAATCCACACTGTGTAACTTTCAGTAGAGAAGGAAGCCAGGTCTTTATTTTGACATTCATTAGATATTTCCTTTTATGATGTATGATACAGTGCATATTAGATCTATTCAAATGAATGAAATATTGTGGAATAGTATGAAGACAAGACATTAATCTCTGGAATCAGTAAAATGATGTTATATGTATACAAATTAATAGATATTCTTGCACACATTGAAGTTGTGACCATTTGTATCAGAAGAAAATTAAATCTTTTGAAATATTATTTTTTTAGGTCAATAGATATTTTTTAATTGCATGAGATTAATATGTCAAACTTTCACCTGTTGTACAACAACTTTACATGAAATAATATTTTTTCCGCTTTTGCTGCTTATACCATGTTTGTTTTAATCCTTGTTGCAACAGAATTTGCTTGTTGATGAATTGAAGCTAGCAGAAATTGGCCCAAAATTTGAACATCACGAGGTGTTCCCAGCACGAACTAACACAGGCAAGATTTTTATATTTCTATGATTGGACTATGATTGTTAACTTTCTTACCTAATACGGATTCTATAATTTTTTTTTCTCATTTATTTCTGCCACTAGGGCCTTTTTATTTTTTCTTCCTTGAGCAATGTAGCTTTGAAGGAAAGGTAGAGAACATTCTGCCAAGATGGTGGTTACTGACTTGGTGACATGAAATTTTTCTTAGTTTTTGTTCATTCTTCTTATGTAGACCATATAAGAGTGTGCATTTACGATTGGCTTTATTTATCACCAAAACTTCTCCCTTGAAGTTTTGATTCTTTGAGCATGACTCAAATGGAAATGTGCCTGGTCATCTTCACACTAATACAGTTGTGGTATCTTTCATTAATTATATGGTTTCATATTTAATGTGCAGAGTTTGTGCAAGTATTGTCTAACTCTCACCTGAAAATGCGTGTTTGGGAGCGGGGAGCAGGTTAGAAAATCTAATAGCTGTGTTGTGTCAGTTTAGTATTACTATTGTTGGTGCAATTATCAGGGTAAGTTCAAGGTACCTCAATTTTATTCAAGCTCATGTTTTGTTGTGCAGGAGCAACCCTAGCCTGTGGAACTGGAGCTTGTGCTACTGTTGTTGCCGCCATTCTTGAGGGTCGTGCTGGGAGGGTAAGCTTGCTACCATGCTTGTGATGATATGAAAACTAGTTATTTTTCATTTAAAAATTAATCATAATCTAAGTAGTCAATAAGGCTGGAGTAAATGTAATAGCGCTGGAGCATGGTGGTGTCTGGTGTGGCATTATGCAAATGCTGTTGTGATCTGTTTCTGTGCTGTGGTTGGAGTGATCACAATAGTGGTATAACAGGGTGTCCGTGAACATTTTAACCCCCTAAATACCCTAAATTTTTACTTATAAGCGATGGTATTTTGGGATTTTAGTAGTCTTTTTCGGTTAGCTTTAGAATAGAAGCTCTTGTCTCCTTAGTGCACATCCTTCCCTAGCCTTGTTCTCCCTCATCTTCTGAACTCAAATAATTCTTCTTGTCTGGTGACCACTTCATTTTTCTTGGACAAAGGCAACCTTTTCTGGCTACCAGACCAACCTCTTGTTTGTTTTAGGTTCCTATTCTTTTCTTTTCTCTGAATTCGGATTTCCCTCTTTTATTTGCTTTGTATTTCCCTTTTCCTCCTTTGCATGTATACTTTTTTCTGTGTTCCTTTGTTCTCTGTTTCCTTTTTTCTTTCTTGCTGGCAGCAGTCTTAAACTTTTTTTCTTCTTGACTTCTTGTGCTCTTTTGAATTCTTGACGAAGACAATGAATCTTGCTGAGGATGAAGATTCCTATTAAAATTTTATATTTGATTTTTAATTTCTTGTACTTTACTTTCTTTAGGCTTTAGAGGCTTTAAGTCCTTTGTTTCCTCGCTAGTATTTCTATCTACTTTATATTTTTGTTTGGGTATTATGAGTGTTATATTAATGAATAGTACACAAATTTTGTAGTTTGTTTTTCTTTTGTTGAGCATGTATATATGTAGTATTAATTATATTATTTATATATGTTATTATATTAGAATAGCAGTTTTGCTATCTGCTCTCACTCTTGGGCATGGTCACTCTGCTTTGCCTTGCCATCAGAGATTAACAACAATGCTCTTCACTACCATCTTTTTGCCCACCACCAACATCAGAGATTTTCAGTATTAAATTTCAGCATGGATGAAACATCAAAGTTTTCTGGCAAAGGTAGTGGGGCATCTAATAATTTAGCTTCAGATGTTGAACCTAAAGTGTGTTTTGGAGATGTCAGGATGCCATGTCGGGGTCCCCATTCAACAATTGATGGGCCACTTGTGGTTCATGGCGCATGGCATTTGGTTCTGCAATGACCAAGATCATAAACCTCCCCAAGTCCTTTTGTTTGAAATAGCCCTTGAGTATAATTGTGACAGTAGTTGAAAAGGAATAAACATGAAAGAACCAGGGATAGATTGAAAGTTAGCTTCTGAGTCAACTCGAACTGGAATTGAAGATATCATCCTCACTCTGAGTGCTTACAATGAAACATATACATTCGATCCAATAGCCTTGTGACAGAAATGATAGATTCAAATGTATGCACTCAAGCTTTCTGTAGCAATATCGAATTACCTTTGGTAAGTGCACCAAAAAAAATCTACATAGAAGTTTAGGTTACCATGAATATATATATATATATATATATATATATATATATATATATATATATATATATATATATATATATAATATATAAGTTGAACTGGTGAAGAAATTACCATCAACACAAGCATCCAACTGAATGTCTTAATTTTCATTACATACCTCAAACCTGATAGCAAAATTGCCTTGGTGGCAGCTCATTATGCACAACTTTCTATCTGGTCTACATGTCTAGAAAGGTGGAGGAAAATTTGGTCGTGTCTGATCCACTCGACCTTTCTTAATATTTCAGTTCCTAAATTCGAACCTCCTTTAGTAGTTATAGGTTCTTGAAATTTAAAGAACTCCAGTTTTGCTTTCTTTTTGTGTGCTCAAGAGTTATGAAGAATCCCTCGATGGGAGCCCTTATACCACTGTTAATAATAGTATAGAACAGGTGGAAGAAAGAAGAAATCTTTATTGCAATATGCCCTTTTCTTGAAGCAGTGGGTTGCTGATGAATATGGAAATGAATTATGGAAATCTTCCTGGGAATTTGAGAGCCCGGTCACCTAACCAAAACTAACCCTCACCAATAAGTTCCATCAATGACATTCTTTTCCTCAATTTTTACCTCTGCTACTGTAATAAAAGAACTAATTAACTAAATACTTATCTAAGAGCTTTAACAATCAAGGCCTGACTAATGGAGGGTGACTCACTTGTTTCTTTAGGCCATTCTTAGTCCTTCTACATATACGTTTCTAATTGGGGTCTTATGCTAACTGCTTGCTTGTTATAACGATGTTTAAGTACTCCTCACTGGTTTGTCCTTTGTAGTGGTAAAGTATGCGCTACTGTTGAAAAGGGACTTCCTTTTGTATTGGTCTTGTATTTCTGACATTATTTTTGAAGATGATGCTATTAAAGGCAGCTGGAAGTTCTGACAATCGGCGCATATATCAATGAAAGCTATGGGGTGCAATGACTCTTAGGCTGCCTGTAGTAGTGTCTTTTGTGATCTACTGCACTCTGCAGGTACAAGACAGATGATGTCATTGGCGTTGCTTCACAAATAGTATAGATGGTCTGAACCTTGCAAAATTATTGTCGGGTAGGCGGTAGGACCGTAGGAGTTTTGTATTTACGGCTGTATCAGTTGTTCTAAGCGCATGTTACGGATTTATGGTATTATTTATTGAGATTTTGCAACCCATTCCTTTTTTCAGTTGCAAATCAGTTTATTGCTTCTTGTGATTGGTCTTTGGGAGTTTGGGTTCATTCTGGGGCACTGTATCAGTGCCTCTTTTGGCCTGGTTTGGTACAATTACAGGTTCTGCTTTATTAGTGGAGTAGATGATCCAGACGTCATAAAATCTTGGTCTGCTAGATGGTAAAAAGATTGTTGTTGCAGCTAGTTGGGGCACATGTCTTTGATCAGTAGAAATCTGTCTAGATCTGCATTGCTATAATTGTAGATATATGATGAAAATATTTTTCTACCATTTGCAAATCATCATGGTTCTTTCTGTAGGTTTCGTAGCAAATTTTGTTTTTGGTCTTAATTTTCAATTTGTCTTTTGAGTTGGTACCGGTGTTATATCTGCAATTGTAATATGGCTTTGGATGGTGAGTGTGACTGCTTTTATTTGGTGAAATGAGGTTTCTCCACATGGAAAATGCTTAAATATGTTCTTGGATTCTATTTATATATACATATATACCAACACTTGACTTTTGTCTCCAAAATTTGAGTCATGATTTGTGTCCTTTGGTTCTTGACATTATCATAAACTGTAGTCACATGCCTGACCTTCGGTCCTTGCCATAATATTGTAAAATGATGTCAAATAAAATTCTCAACACGTCTGTATTTAATGGATAACGATGACAGGGTCGAGTTTCAAAATAACAGATATTGGAGAGACTTAAACTAAAATTTGATTTATTTTTAGGGACCAAATGCACATCTGAGCCCAAAATGCAAGTGCTTCGTCACTGTTGCCCAAAAAATAACTGTGCGTTGATTTTGCCGTAATCTTTTTAATCTGTCAATTTGATACAGAATTGCACGGTTGATCTACCTGGAGGGCCTCTTCAGATTGAGTGGATGGAGGAAGATAATCATGTGTATATGACAGGCTCAGCCGATGTAGTTTATTACGGATCTTTGCCTCTTTGATATGTCGTCCCATTGTTAAAACCAATACTTGGGGAGTTAGGAATTGCTGAATAATCTTTGTATCAGAGGCGGACTTTTTGGTTGTTTCGCTGTATTTATTCTCTTCCCACCCATTTGGTTGTATGAGCCACAATGGTGTAGTAATTAGCTGAACGGTGACTTGTGTGGATTTAATGGCATTTCAAGAAAGCAGGGTTCAAGATTGTAAAATATGCAAGTTTTGCTGCGCTTCTAGGGTGGTGGTACTGTTTCATAAAAAATATCCGTCTTCTTTATAGCATTTATGATAAAATATATATGTTAGATGATTTTTGCAATTTTAATGCTGCAAGAAGTGGATATATTTCCAGAGTCTGAACGATACCTTATTTTGTTTCAAAATCAACTTGGATATTCAATTCCATTCAATAGAAAAAAATAGTATTTAGAAACATAGCATTATTTTATATTTGAAACTTTTCTGTTCAGTTTTTTTTTTTGTTAAAAAAGAAAAGAAAAGGTGCTACTATAGTTGTGTATTATATATGCTTGTCATAGAACATGACGAGAAGAAGTTAAAATCTTCAGAAGATAATAGATAACTTTTTATTCACATCAAAGACATTGGTTCCTAAGAAGGTAAGTCCAGTGGGAGGTTGTTTTACATTCAATAGAAGTTATCGACGGAAATATTTAAGTAAAGTATTAATTATTTAAATAATAATTATTGGGGGAATATTAAATGGAAGGGTAAGTTGATTAATTTTTTTAATTATTTTAAAAAATAAATAAGAAGAAAAAATGAATTTTATAAAAAATTATAAATTTCAATAAAACAAAATGAATTGAGTTATTTAAATATAATATGTTATGATAAATTTATATTTCATATAGTTTTTTAAGATAAAAATTAAAATATCATTAGAAATGTCCTTAATAAATGTTAAGGATCATATTCGAGTAAGTGTATTTAGGGATTGCAAAACGGGTTAGCTTGTCCTATTTTGGCTCTGTTCGCCTTTGGGTCACCAAAAGTGAGGCAGTGATCAGTTATAGTCATGACGGGTTATAGATCTTAGCCACCCGCCAAGGCGAGGTTGATAAGTCGACCAGTCATAATTTAGAAAAAATAATTTATTTTTTAAAATAATTTTTTTAATAAATTTGATAATAAGATTATTATTTGTTTGTCAATAATTCAATATATATATATATTATTTCAATTTAATAATATAAATCAATATATTGTTTTAGGAAATTATAATTTAGAACAATAATAAAATTTACATAATAATAAATAATAACAAATATATATATATATATATATATATATATATATAATGTTAAAACTTATAAAATTTATATTTTTTATATTGAAAAATTCAAATATCTATATCTTTTTTATTTGATAAAACTTCACATTATTTTTAGTTAAATAATTCTTACACCTTTAATTCAAGTTATAAAGATAAAAATAATCGAGTGTTTAGAATGAATAAGAAAAACAAGAGAGAGAAAGTTGTGTTTCAGTAAGAAGAATATTTGTTGTGAAAGTGAAACTTTTTTAATTCTCTTTTTAAAATTTTTAACTTTATATATATATATTTTTATAATTAATTTTATTATAATAAAACAATATTTTTTTTATTAATTAGACAGAAGGCTTGGAACGGACTCACGGGCCGACCTTTTTTCTTCCCTAAGTGTATTATTTATTCTACTAGTAAACGTCCTAAAGGGGAATGGGACATTGTTAGTATTTTTCATTAAATAGAAAGGTTTATGTTTATTGCGTAAACAAATATACAAACCCTGCACTTCGAAGTTTCGTTATAAGTTTTGTTTTTAACCGATGGAAACAAACCTATGTTTTCGGTTGCACTGATGCTGGACTACGAAGACGAAGAGGAAAACTGATTCAATGACTACAATCGAATTCTACGTAAGAGAAGCTCGTTGGAAGTATATCAAATATCAATCTCTTAGCAGAAAAGTTCCTTGTTCATGATTATGTGATATACATGGAATTTAATCTTCCAGTTGTGGAATAGTTGGATGTGAAATAAACCTTTCAAATAATATTTTCCGAATATAAATAGAATTCATCAGCTCATCACCTAAATTCTCCGAATATAGATTCTAGTTACATGTGAGCTGAACCGTCTGCACAAGAAGTTGGAGTATGGAACTGGACATCGGAATCATGCTAAGGGTAGTTGGATGAAAATCCCAGCTAATAACTAGACCTACATATTTGGGGCGTTGCCCCTGTTGTTCACCTAAAAAAAGACTAGAACTAAACCCCTTGATCAATTTTTTCTTTTAATTAAACTCTCCTGCACTATTCACCTGTTAACTAATCTGCTGCTCAAATTTGACTGGTACGGGCTTTCACCTCTCACTATGCCGGACTCTGCTGCCATTTCAAACATCCCCGTGTGAAAGCATATCACGAATTTTTCAGATGGTTCTACCAACTATGAACCAACCCAGTTGGGAAAACAAAGAAAAACATGTTTTTGCGACCATTCAATCTAATCTTTCAGCAAAATAATTCCTTTCCCTTTTTATTCACAACTTTTCTTACTCTAGAAACAACACAGAATGTTCTCCGTTCGGAAAAAGACACGTCGAAGTTTCGAGGAACTTCTCTGGGCCGTGGTTATTAACTCGGTGCTTAACGCGGCCGAAAAGTGAAAAGTAGAAGTGAGCGTGGGGCACAAGCGTCACGTGGACCAAATGATTTCCTTCTTCAAATACCAAAGACGACAACTATGACGACATCATTCGGGAAGCAACTTCGTAACCACATGGGCGTTCGCGTCATTCCAACTAGTCAAAAGCGTAGTCCAATTTTATTTTATTTTTCTTTTTAATTCTAGTTTGAATACTGAACTTTGTTGAATTTCTAAGGGTCCCCTCCACGTTATCTTTACTCGTTACCAACCCCAACTTTTATAAATACCAAATACCAGCTCCAGAGTTTCTCATCCCCCAACTTTGAATCTCATAATTTCATACGACACACTCTTTCTACACACACAACACATTTCCTTATTCAACAAGGTAGCAATGAAGAGACAGCGAGGTAATGAAGGATCGGAGTGCATAGATTTGGCAAAATGTCTTCTGCTGTTCTCTTGTCCACAAGAAAGCAACAAAGTACGAGAGAAAAGTTTTGGTTCTCTGGATTTTGAGTGCAAGACATGCAACCGCAAGTTCTCATCTTTTCAAGCACTGGGAGGGCACAGGGCAAGCCACAAGAGGCAGAAAGTTGAAGGGGGGGAACTGAAAGAAGAGGGAAAAAGTCTTAGCTTGTGGAGCAAACCTAAAATGCACGAGTGCTCCATCTGTGGCCTAGAATTCTCTCTGGGGCAGGCTCTGGGAGGACACATGAGAAAACACAGAGGTGTGAGCAACGAAGGGTTTGTTCCTGTTCCTTCTATGAACCAAGTCATTGCGAAAACCCCAGTTCTGAAAAGGTCGAATAGCACCAGGGTCATGTGCTTGGATTTGGAGTTACACCTGTAGATAATGATGCCTTTCTGCTTCCACTTTCATCATTCTTTTAACATTTTTACCCGCTTCTGGACACATGTAATCTTTAATTAATTTTTTTTGTAAATTCACTTATAGATGATTTTGTTAAGGTTCCTTGTATATGACTTATTCTTTATTAATAATTTGTTTCTCATTATTTTGTTATTACCATTGATTATGATAGCCAACAACTAACCAACCTTCAATTTAGAGTTATTAATTAACACGTTTGCTGTATAACAATGATAGATTAAAACATTCAGCGTGACACACGACACGAGTCTTCTTCAGCTACACGGAATAAAATTTTCAGATTCTTTTTCAGAGTTGTTACTTGTAAAAATTTATTGAAAAACTATAAAACAATATATGTATGACTGAAGAATAGTAAATGGGAAGTGGGATGGGCGAAATAATGAGATTTTTTTTTTTAGAGTTTAATAACTGATAAAAAAAAAGTTTTCATTAGATTGTTTCTAACATTTTTATTTTATTTTTTATATTTTCCATCGATAATTTTGTCACTAGATTTTCCTTAACGATAAAGGATATAGTTATCTCACTTTAATTTATTGTTGTCTTGTTTTTTCGTGGACTGTGTGAAGTTTCGTTGTCATGATATTCCTTTTTATCTTTAATGGATAAGTCAAAATCATCAACCGGAATAATATTACGCTGTCAAGTTTAATAGAAGAGAAGAAGAGGAGTCGCATTGTTTAATAACAAATATTTTTAAAAAACACTTTCATTTTTATATAAAATATTATCTTCTATCATATTAATTTAATTCTAATTATGTAAAAGTATTCAGAAACTGATTCAAACTAATACAAAATATTTGCATCAAATTTTATTTTCTTCTAAATTCTACCCGATCGAGCTTTGAACACATTCCAAGAAAATGTATTTGCAGATCACAAACAGTTGCAATGATTTTTGCAATCAGTTGATACACATTTTTGCCACAGCACATTGAATTTCGACGCAGCACATACATTTTGAACAGAGACCACACTTGAATATCATATCATATATCATAAACTATTATATTATATATATACATCACACTTTATAGTAATCTAAGTAATTAGTAATTACAATAAACAAAGTTGGTTGTTCATTCACAATTCAAAGGTGGTTGGTTGTTTAGAGGTTGCTATTTGAATGCTTTCAGTGGCCATGCCTCCCAATATTAAAATCATTATTATTTTATCTCAGAAAATTTCTCTGAGTTTTTGTCGTCAAAGAAACAGTTTATATTTTCTTACAATTTATTATTAAATTTCCTTCTCACTACAAATATGAAATATTTTTTTATATCAGAAAGACATCACGTGAGTCAAATACATTTTTAATAACTTTTAAATTAAAATTATTTTAATATATATATATATATAATTAAAATAAAGTAATAAGGTGAAACTATCATAAAATTTTTAAATATGTGAAACTTCATAAAAAAAAGCTATCCATTTTATGAGAAATTTAAATTTAAGACTTTTTACAGTCGTGAATTTTACTAGTAATTAAAAAATATTAAAAAATTTATTTTATTGTATTTGACACTCTAATATATGTTCTAATCTTTCAAATATTAAATCACCTTCATTTATTTTAAAGGGAAAATGTCATATGTCATGTTCAAAATTGGCGTCAGCAATTACTTGAGAAGTAAGGGCATAGTTGTCTAAAAAAAAAGTCAAAAGCTGGTTCAGTACAAAAAGTAGTGAAAAACGAAAAAAAAGTCATAGAGTTTAAGGGATTTAAGTCCCATTTCTAGAATTATAGATTGGTGAGTCTTATAAGTGTGGTTTGAAACATCTGAATGGTCAATACTATCAACTATACCAAACACAATAACTAAATTTTGTCTTAACTCATACACTTCAAACAAATTAAAAAAAAATATCATAAAAATATGTATGACAAGTGTGTTTTTTTAGATAATTGTTTATTAACAAAAAAAAATGAGTGAGAATATTTTGAATAGAAGTAACTCTCAAGTCCTTACTTATACATTGAATATGTGATTTATGATTTTATTATTATTATTAATATTAATATTAAGTAACTATCCAAGTTATAAAAAAATATATGAATTTATATATACAACTCACAATTTTATATATTTTTTAGTTACATTTAATTAGGGCCATACGTTAAAAGAAATCTATTTGAATTTCTTAGTGGATTAAGAATTGGGTCTGGTGAGTATCATCTCCCTCATAAGAAATTAATATAATATTTTATTTTAATAGATTTTTTTTAAAAGACTTCAATAAAATTCACACAATTTTAAATTATTACTATATATGAATAAATTCTTCTTATCTTTTTTTTTTTCAATAAATAAACTTCTAATACAACGTGTAATGACAATACTTTTACCTAAATGGTTGTTGAACATATGGAGTAAAAAAATATATTTATATGAACTTAAACAAAATGTTTTTTTTAAGAATAATTATTTAGATAATAATTACTTAAACCATCTCTAACGTAAAATATTTAACTTATTGCTTAAAAAATAATATATGTATTTTATAAACAACTATATTAAAATTAATCACAATGAGAATTCTTAAAAATGTTAATAATATTATTTCTATAAATATTGTTGTTTGATAAAAAAAAAACCCGCACAAAAAGTTATTTACCAAAATATTTTTTGTAGTAATTAACATCTCAAATCATATATATTAAAATAAAATAAATTAAAAAAAATTGATAGTCAATTCCGAATCAAAATAAAAAGTGTAGAAATATTTATATTTTTTATTTTATTTATAAAATAAAAAACTATAATTGTCTATAATTATTTTTAATTTCTGTTTAATTTTATTTTTAATCTTATAAATTATTTTAAAAAAGAATTTATTTTAAAAAATTATAATTCTTTATAAAAATAAAAAATTTCCTTTTAATTTATCATGATTTTAAATTGAAATATTATATTAAATTGATTTTCAATTATAAGAATTAAATATTTTTAAGTTATTAAATGAAATTATAAATAAAATAATATTTATAAAAACAATCATTAAAATAATAAAATGCTTGAAAATAATGTTATGTAATATATTTTATTTAAAGTAAAATAAAATTGCCAACTCTCTGAAGATAAAGATGAGTGAGAGTTTACTGGCAGCCGTCGCTGCAGTATTTCCCATTCTCTCGCCTTCTTTGACTCTCCTCCCTTCGTCATTCCACGTCTAATTTTAATTTAATTTATTAAAATTAGTTTTAATATCAATATAAATTATAAATTCACCTTTTTAAATTATAGTATTTTAATATAAAAATTTAATTTACATCAAAACATGGCAACACGTGCCTTTCTATTTTCTAACATGTATCACGTGACAGCAGGATTACAAGTACGGTGGACGTTCTTCAAAGCTAAAAGTAGTGATTTTTAAAAGATTTATAATTTTTATATAATTTATAATTTTTATTTTCAAAATTTAATAATTATTTAATATATTTATTTATATATTTATAATTTTATTTTTATAATTTTATAATTTTTATATAATTTATGATTTTAATTTTTTAAATTTAATAATAATTTAATATATTTATTTATATATTTATGATTTTATTTTTATTTTTTTTATATTTATTAATAATATTTTATTTGCTAAAAAAATAACTGTGACGTCAACCTGAAATCAACCCAGCAGTCATCTTGTACATGCGGAAAAGTAAGTAACCCCGTTCATTCTCTTCCGTTGCCATTTACTATGTCAACTCCACCACTCCATCATCAACCTTTACAATTCAAATCAAATATTATTCAGTTATCACACCTATTTTTAATATTACTTACCACTTTATTAAGTTGACAAGATGTATTCATCAAAGTATCAAGTTTGTCGCAGTATAATTTTGGGTCATCTTAAAATATATATTACATACAAACTCTCTTTGAAATAAATAATTGATTTGTGCACCGAAATAATAATTAAGAATGTGAAAATATGAGAAAAGCATTAACAGATAAAAATTATAGGTGGATATTTATTTATTTTTTTATAAAAGAAATATTATGTAAGAAGAAAAGTCTCACGTCACCTTTTTTTATTATAAAATGAGCACAGATGTTTATCTTGTAAAATGTATCAAAATAACTTTTTTTTTATTTCTCTTGCTGCTTTAGTACTTGAGATATAAATTAAGAGAGAAAAATAGTTTCTCCTTTTAGGTTCTCTTAGAGTTGTTTCTCCTTTATTTTCAGGAGAGAGTGTTATTATTTTCTCCTTGGAGGTAAAGAGAAGAGTTGTAATTTCTTTCATTAGTGAAATTACTCTTTTGTCTATTATCGGTATTTTTCTCATCTTTTTATTTTAGTTGTATGTGTTTATGCTTTTGTCTGCATAATCATTAGAATAGTGTTGGAGAAAATTCTTAATATGATCTGTGGTTGTGGTTAATATGATATTCCACGTAAGAAAAGAGATATTCTTGTTACTAGATATTATTTGGTAGTGTGATAGTGCTTGTCTAGGAAAAGTTCTGACAAGGAAAAATTTGGTATTTAAGCGTGTCCATTAGTAACTCACCTCTCTTTCCTCAGGAAATACTATTCATAGTGAGGATTGCATAGGTCGATTTTGGAATCATGACAACAAAATATGAGATAAAGAAGTTCAATGAGAGTAATTTCTCATTGTGGAAATTGAAGATAAAGACAATTTTAAGAAAGGACAATTGTATTAATGCAATTGCTGAAAGAACCGTGGAACACGCGGATGAATGACGGCGGAAAGAAATTAACGACAATACTATTGCAAATTTACACTTATTAATGACAGATTCGGTTTTATCCAGTGTTGTGGAGAAGACTACTGCGAAGGAGATTTGAGATACCCTTATTAAACTATATGAGGTGAAGTCACTTCACACAAGAATATTCTTGAAAAGAAAACTTTATACTCTTCGGATGAGTGAGTCCACATCAGTGACGAACCACATCAATCATTTGAATACCT